AAACCAATGACATAAAAAGAAAGCCTGTAAATAGCTCAAGGTCTGATGGAATGTCACACCCTGGCCCCAAAGTCTATTTTTGGTACTTCCTCGGCACTTCCTTGCTCTGCTCCCCTTGCTGTTCTTTTGCACGCCCTTAGTGTTTGCCTTGGTGTGGTAGAGTCAGACCGGGTGCAATTCTCACACTGTCTCCAGTGTTGTCCCCTGTAGGGTTATGGGTCAGTGAGGGATGTCATATCTCGTTGTGGGGCCAGCCATATGGTCCTCTCTGCATTGGCTGCTCTCTCTGTTTTATAGGGAGATCTGTCATGTGGAAGAGGGATTAAATTCACTCTGCTTCTCTAAGGCTAGAACCAGCCACAGGAAGAACATTTTATGCTGTCCAATGGGCTGGCTTTTGAGACAGTGAGCACCCTGTCTGATGAGATCTGGGTTGTTATTCCAAGACTACCCCTTACTGACCTTAGGAAAACAACCTGGTATCTCATATGCTTGTCTGCTTAATGCATGAAATGAAGGCATAAGTGCTACTTATTATGGCTATTGTGAAGATTAAATTAGAGCCTAATCAGAGTGATGGCTAGCATTTCTTGGGTGCTTATTCTATCCTTGAGGCCATTCAAACTGCTTTCTATGCATTATCTGTAGTACCATGCACAGCTCCTCACATGTCCGGCGCCTGCTCCTGTCCTGGGCTTTCTCATTCTCGTACAATGTATGCTGCGTGTGCCACCTTCAGCCATAATGACCTTTCTCCATTTCAGTCTAATAACAAGTCAAGTTCAATCCCACGGAAACATTTTCTCTATTCTCAGCTTGGATGTTCTCTGCCTTCGTCTTCCTTTCACTTAATCCTTCTTATAATTCGGGTTTCAGTGTAAATCTCACCTTGGAGAAGCCTTAACTTATATGCTGTTTAAAGGTCATTGCCAGTTCATCTCCCTGCCCTTGCTCCAGCAGAACTCTTCATTGGTTAGCACGCGACTTTAAAACTTTTATGCATGGTACGTTGACTCATGGGATTATTTCAAGTGTTCATTTATCTGTCTGCCCTCTCTCCAATTGCATATTGCATATCACCTTTATGCATTGCAGTATTCCCAGTCAGACGCACAGAACACATTCAGAAAGTGTTGAGTGAAGAAGTCGAAACATTCGTGAAAGAAAAATCCCAACCCTTTCCTTCCCTCACCACTGGAAATATTTAAATAGAAGCTGGATTTTGACAGGAATGGTCTAAATGAGACTCTTGCAATGCAGAAAAATAGAACCAAAAGATATTTTTTCTGATTTTTGTTAAAATGAATATAAGTTGCATATGTTTTTCAATTGCTTCATATGTGAGGAGGACTTGAAGCACTTGCTGATGAAAATCTTAGTGTGGATTGCAATTCAGTGCAAAGAAAATCAAAACCCTCACAGCTGGACATCACAACACCATGATAAATGGAGAAAAGACTAAGTTGTCAAGATTTCATTTTACTTGGATCCACAATCAATGCTCATGAAAGCTGCTGTCAAGAAACTAAAGGTCAGGTCGCACAGGGCAACTCTACACAAGATCCTTTTAGAGGATTAAAAAGGAAGATGTCACTTTGAGGACTAAGGGGCACTCGACCCCAGAGCCATAGTATTTTCAGTTGCCTCAGATGTGTGTGACATCTGCCCAATGAATCAGGAAGAGTGGAGATGAATTGATGCGTTTAAATGATGGTGTTGGTGACCCTAGAAAGTACCGTGGACTGCCAGAGAACAAACAAGTCTCTCTTGGTGGTAATATACCTAGAATGCTCCTTACAAAGGAGGATGGTGAGGTTTCATCCCATGTACTTTGACCATGTTACCTGGAGAGACAAGTCCTTGGAAGAAAAGGACATCATGCTTGGTAAAGTAGAGGGTCAGGGACAAAGAGAAAGGCCCTTAGTGAGATGGCTTGACAGTGAGAGGCTGAATCCCTGGGCTGGATTGGCATGACGGCGCAGCCCTGGGCAGTGCCGTGTCCCAGATGCAGTGCACAGGGCTGCTGTGCATCAGAGTTGACGCTATGCTGACAGAGGTCCGTAAATGGTTCCCGTGGCAGAGGATGATGGAAATGTTCCCTTCTCTCTCTCTCTCTTTTTTTGGATAGTTTTCAAAATCCACAGAACTGAAACCTCAGATCTGTGCGTTTTATTGCATTTAATGTGTAACTTAATTTTTAAAAAGCAATAAGATTGTACCTAAATCGGGATTTGTTACCTCTTGGTGGTCTGTGATCCAGAACACTGATATCAAGCATTTGCTAAGCAAAGATTTAGACTGCTGGTGTTCTGTTTTGTTTTATGGTCAGGAAGTGTGTGTGTGTGTGTCCGTTGCCCTAAGAAGAAGAGGGTACAGTTTAATGCAATGAAGATTCATATATTTATATTCTTTGTTACCAAGTTTGATCATATTAAGTGTTCCTAGGAATGGTTCCTAATTGTGCTAAGGATGTATGTGTGCATCTATTTTTATTGGCTAATTTGGCTATATTTGCTATGAAGTACATCATCTGTTTTTAACTGATGTATTGAGTTTATGCTTCAAGGACCTAACTGGTACATCGCTGTGGCCAGGAAGCTAGGCACTGGAGACAGGAATAGGGGAAACGTTACCTTGTCTCATTTAGGGATTCCTCGGGGCCAGAATGGGTGTCAGACAGGTTTTCTTTCTTTCTTTTTTTTAAACAGTTTTAGTGGCACATAATTTACATATCATACTATTCAAGGTTCAATCATTCACTCATATCAAGGAGAATGTACAATCAATTACCATGTCAATTTTAGAAAACACACATACATACACCCTCGTCCCATGGTTCAGTCGCCTTTGAAATGCATTGTGCAATCATATCAGCTCTAGTGCTCCCTCTCCTGTCCCCTCAGACAGGTGTGCTCAGTCTCTGAGTTGGTGGCCAGAGGGTAGAGAAGATGGGGTTTCTATTTCACTTTTTTTCTTGAGCATTCTGTTTCTGGAGCAAAAAACTGAGACAGTTATGAGTCTCTTCTATTCTTGCCAAGGTGTGACATGGCAGGTGTGGGTCTGTAACTTTGTATTTAACCACTGGGAAAATAAGGAATATGGAGCTGCTTGCCAAACTCCATTTCACGAGATGTCTTCTAAACCAAGCACTCAGCTAAGGGGTTTTTGTTTACTTTGTGTTGCGCTGTGGGCGAGGGAGGAGGCTTGTGGCTGTCAGAAAGAAGTGCTGCTTCCGAAAGCCATAGGGGCAGATCTGCTCTGTCCTGTAGGGTGACTATGGGTGGGCATCGCCTCGATGGCAGGGAGTTTTGTTTGTTCTTGTGGTTATATTAGCACTCATAAAACATGTGATCACAAAATAAGTTACTACCATCATTTAAAGATAATACTTACTCGACAGGTCTTCCATTTTTTAAAAAAGGCAGCAAGTGATAAAAGAAAGAGATGAGATTAGGAATGAATCTCCTGTTCTTAAATTGACAAATAGGCTCCTCTTTAAGTATTTCTGTTTTTCAGTTATTATATCCATAATCTATAGGAAATCGTTGTTTTGCAGATCTTATTTGACATTAATCACAGAGATGATGAATTCCAGTAAATAAAAAATACTAGGAATATATCTGATGACTTTGGTCACCGTCTCATTACAGTATATCATATAACACCCAGAGCAATTTAGGCACCTATATGCTCGAGTATAAGCCAGTCCGAATATTAGCTGAGGCACCTAATTTTACCACAAAAATTGCATTAAAAATGTGTCTACAAACTCGGTTTATACACGAGTATATACGGTATGTGGTTTTATTTAACAGGTAAGTCAATACCAAAAAAAAAAACCAAACCCCAAACTCACTGCCTTTGAGTCAATGCTGATGCACAGTGACCTGATAGGGCAGGGTACCTGTCCCCATGAGTTTGAGACTGTGCTTCTTTGTGGGAGTAGAAGGCCCCATCTTTCTCCCATGGAATGATGGCTAGTGGTTTAGAACGGTGACCTTGCAGATCGCAGTCCAACAGGTACCCACTATGCCACCAGGGCTCAGTTATTTTCATTGTGATAATTGTTTATGTTCACTGCTACCTGTATTATTTAGCATTTTGCTTGTATTTTTATTACAGCTGTTTCACTCAATTCAGAGAACCTGTTTGGACTTGTCTAAAGCAATTGTACTTTATCAAAAGAGGATATGCTGTAAGTATGCCATGGAGCCATTGCGAATACTAATCCAATAATTAAACAGCAAGGAATAGATGGCAGGTAATTTTCGTATCTGCCATTCACTACAGGAAGTAAGATAAGGAGACGACTCCTTACAGGTGTTTGTTTTCACTCGATAAGGGCTGTGGAGGAGGGTCTTTAATAGTTTTATCAGTAAACTTTTACATAGAACGTTTCCGTTCAATAGAAGTGCCATAACAGAAGAGTTTTGTATTGGATCACCCTACACATAAATGTGCCATATTTTATTATGAAAACTTTCCTGAGATTTATATCTTGAGTCTTTTTATTTGAATTTTTATTTTATTGTCTTAATTACCAAAGGCCCAGTTCTATAGCTCGATGACAGTATTTGTGAATATTTCTTATGGAGGGTTTTGGGTTATTGGAGAGTGCCATTTTTAAACAGCATCTGGTCTTAAAATTATACTACCAGCTAGCTCTGAAATGTTAAATAACATGTTGCATAGTACTAGCTTTTAAAACTTCAATTTTTAGGTCAATTTAATAATGTAATTTGTGTATTCCAGAGAATAGGATATGGGGGATGTTTCTCTAGCTCTGACTGCTGCACAATCCCTTTCTGTTAGTCACAAATTGGCAATAGTTTATTTTCCTTCATTTGTAGTCTTTTATTACAAAATTATTTGGGTGAAGTAAAAATATCGTAGGACGTAGAGGTAGAATTTTTAAAATTATCTTTAGTAACATTTAAATGTATGAGCAAAGACATCGACAGAGTTATCATGCTAGGATCTTGGGCTATGAGGAAAACAAGAGATGATACACTGTATTTTTCATAGGATGTTCAAGATCTGGGAAGTCATGCATGTATACATGTATTCTTTTCCAGGTTTTCTGCATTTCCTATTTTACTCACCACTTTCAAGTCAATCTGAACTTACTGTGACCCTTTAGGACAGAGTAGAGCTGCTTCTTGAGATTTCCGAGACAAGTCTTTACAGGAGCAGACAGCCTCATCTTTCTCTTACAGTATGACTCGTGGGTTTGAATCACCTGCCTTGGGGTTAGTAGTCCAATGCTTAACCCACTACACCATCAAGGTTCCTCCTCTTTTCTATTAGAAATAGTCAAAGGGTTATATGCGTGGTTTCTGTCCAAAGATTCATGTCTTAACAGCTGTTTCTTTTGATGTGAATAGTCCTGAAGCTCTTCCGACTCTTTGTTTCCTGCTTCTGCATGTTTTTTGGTAGATGAAATCCAGGATGGGTGAATATATAGAGACTAACTGGACTAATGGTTCATTGAGGGCACGGTAGGAGAGCTGGAGGAAATGGGGAGCTAATAACAGGGAGTATGAGAGAAGATGTTCTGTAATTGGTTGTGGTGATGACTATACAAGTTCTTGATATGATTAAACTATTGAATTGTATACTATTTGGGTTAGGCCCCAGTGAAATTGTTAATAAATATACAAAATAAATTTTACTAGCTCCCAGTGGCCTGTATTATAAAAATGAAAACTTATTAATACAGGGGGAAAGATGAAATTCTGAACTAACGTGGAATTCTATTGAGTAGGTATTAAGTGAAAGAAGTGAAGCACAAAAGCATGGTATCTCTCTCGCAAGAAAGAAGGGGCTAGAGTGAGAACATATACAGAATAAAGATATCTATGTGGAAGCTAATGTACTCTGCTAATTATGCCAAAGCAAGATCTAGGAGAGTGAAACCAGAGACGAATGAGATTGAAAACCAATAGGAAGTGAGCAGGGAATGAGTAGGATGAAGAGGAGATTGTGTCTTCCCTAGGGGGGGTGAGGAAGGAGCTGTACTCTAGTAATATTTAGAATAGAACCATAGAAATATTTCACATTCTTAAAAAATAGATTCTTAAAACCAACTAGGATGTGGGAGAATCCAAAATGAAATACAGCCTGTAAAAATTAACATAATTATATTATCAATGGGGATCGAGCATAAGTACACTAATTTGAGAGGAGAAGAAAATAATTAACCTAAATAATTTTGGGAAGTAATACTTTGGATACTAATGCTAAAGATGAAAAGAATTATACAGAAAAACCAGTCTACTTAGTAAACGTTTTTTCTTCTACGGCTATGGGTTTGTAATTCTGAATCTACTTTGTGTATATACTAGGACTGGAAAGTAAGAAAATATGTTGTAAATGATGAGAGCCAACTTTCTCAGGACCAATAGTAGAAGCAAACTACGAATAAGGCAAGTGAGGATGGTGGAATGAACAGTGGAATTAGAGCTTCTCAGTAGGAATAGGGATTTGATGTATTTGATATATACACGGTCAGACATAAAGAAGTAAGTTTAGATAAGTGAGTATGCACGGATTCACATACATTCATAGATTGCCTCGCTCTCTCAGTTTAGAAGACCTAAAAACACTAACACTATATACTGATAATCACATCTTGGGCCCAGATTTTTTAAAAACACTCCTTTCCAGTAAAAGGAATGTTCTTTGAAGATATGATCAATTTCCAAGCTGGGACTAGCAAAACTGAAGCTCATCCTACAATGTCTGTGTACCAGAATATCAGGAAGTGGTTGAGAAAAGGGTGGATATTGAAGGACCCAGGGGAACACTGAAAGGAGCTGATGCCGGTCAGAGAGTATAATCAATGGGAATATCAATGAGAGTGCTGACTTACAGTTCACAGAATACAGTATATGACCATAGCTGACAGACAGACAGAGGAGAGCACGGTGCCGTGGGGGTTAGAAGTACGCTGTGAGACGAAGGTCCAAAGTTAGAACCCGCCAGCCCACTCCTTGGGAGGAAGATGGACCTTTCTCTCCACGTCAAGAGTCACAGCCTCGGAAACCCACTGGGGCACTTCTGCTCTGCTGTGGGGTCGCTATGTGTGCATCGGATCAATGGCAGTGAGAGTGAGTGAGATAGATAGGTAGGTAGGTAGGTAGGTAGGTAGGTAGGTAGGTAGGTAGACAGACAGACAGACAGACAGACAGACAGACAGACAGACAGACAGATAGATAGAAGATATAGTGAAGGTCATCTCTTCCTGATGAAATAATCAATGTAGAAAGAATGGGAGAATCACAAAATCACCTTAGGAAAATACCACAGTAAGAATTGTTCCAGGGAAGAATCACTGAAGGGTGCTACAATTAGCAGAAGTTTGGAGAGAAACTGAATATTTACATAGTCTTATATTTCCTTCAATATTTTTAATGATAAGGAAAACATTGTAGCTTTTCAGTGGAGAAGCCCAGTGGAGAACACCTTACGATTAACATCATCCGTAATAATGCATGTCGATACATACTGATAGTTTATAGATCCTGATACCGGGTGCTGAGATTGACACTTCACGCCATGGCACCCTTTCCAAAATCTGTAGTCTAATCATGAAAAATCATCAGAGAAGCCCAAATGGAGAAGCCGTCTACGAAGTACTTGATGCACACTCTTAAAGGCTGCCAGACCCTGAAAGACCAGAAAGACCGAGGGACCCTCATGGATTGAAGCGCATTAAGGAGCTACGATAACTCAGTGGCGTACAGGAGCCTGATACCAAAAAAAGGTCATTAATGGAAATTTTCTAAAAACTTAAGGTCTGTGGTTCAGTCGTATTGTGCCACTGTCAGTTTCCAGCTTTGATACTGGCCCTGTGGTTACATAAAATGAGGGGAAATCTAGGGACGGATCTATGGGAACTGTGTGCTCTCTAAGCCTAAAATTCTATTAAAATAAAAAGATTTAAACTGTTTTAATTAAATATATTGCTTCTCACTAAAAAGCTTCTGAAGCCTTTTGCCGTCAACTTGATTCAAACTCCTAGTGATGCTATAGAACAGAACTGTCCCCAGAGCTTTCCAGGCTGTAAATCAGTCTGGGGGCAGGCTGCTGCACTTGCTCCCGAAGGGCTGTTGTTGAGTTTGAAACCGCTGACCTTTCAGGCCTGGATCTTAACCACTGTGCCCCAGGGCTCCTTAAGAGGACTCAAAGGAAAACTGAGACTCCCGTGCCATGACTTACAGATCCCTGCTTGCCCAGGGCCAGCTCTCTGTTCACACCTCGTGCTCACTTTTTGTCTTGCCCTCCATGCTGTCTGAGGCCTTTTGCCCTTGCTGTTCCCTCCGTCTGCAATGCCCACAGAGTTGTATGAGCCCCAATAAAATGATTTAAAAAAAAAAAAAGTACTACTGAGGAAGGGTGATGTTGGCAAAAGCATTAAATATATCCTAACAAAGACTCTAAACTGCTGCAACAATGAACAAATCTGTCTCCAAAGAAGTACAATTAGAAGCTCCTTAGAAGCAGAGACGATGCCACTTCATCTCACATGTTTCGGACTTGTTATCCAGAGGGGTCTGCCCTGGAAGAGGGCATCCTGCTTGCTGAAGTCCACTTGGATGGGCGAGATGACCCCGGGGTCTGCAACAAGGGGCGTAGACCACTGTCCTGAGAATGCTGCAGCGTTTGAGTCTCCTTCATGGGGCCATTTGAGTTGATTCCACCCCCAGCCGGACTCAGCTCAGTCACGATTTAAAACCTGTATCTTCCGTTTTCCTTCCCAAGGACAAGATTCTTTTCTTACCACTTGTCGATGTCATCTACTAAGATAGGACTAAAACACGTTTTGATCATAAGATTTAAAAGTCTGTATGAACACCATTTGAACCAGTTATTATTGCCATTTTCATATGAGCATATTGTTCCAGTTAAAGGTGCCCTAGTGGCGTAGTGGTTATATGTTGGGTTGTGGTCCGAAAAGTCAGCAGTTTGAAACCACCAGCTGCTCTGAGAGAGGAAGACCTTGCTCTCTATCCCCTCAGGAGTTACCCCATCTCTGAAACTCACAGGGGCAGGTCTGCGCTGTCCTGTAGAGTCGCCTAAGTCAGCATCGACTTGATGGGAGTGAATTTATTGTTCCAACTAGTACTGTCTCTAGTACGCGATATTGTGAGGAAGTATCTAGATTTTATTTATTCACATGGCATTATCTGGGAAAATAGTACCTTGTAACAAAAGAATTACATAACTATGTCAGGATTCTTGAACACTCTATTAAGGATGAACATCCAGCAGTAACAAATGTGAGGTAAGAGGCGAGAGTAATGCTGGCTGCTGTGATGGTTAAGGTTTTTGTGTCAACTTGACTGGGCCATGATTCTCAGTGGTTCAGTGTATGTAAGGATGGAATTTGGCCTTTATGTAATGATCTAGTTGTCCATTTTGTGATCTGATGTGGTCACCCTCCATGTTCACTTAAAACCAATTTTCCTCTAATCACCTAGTTGGTATGTGAAGGGTGGGTATATAAAACATCAATAGCATAAACTTTGTTCATGTTTACTGAGTTGCAGTTCATATTCAGCTAGTTTAGCACGACAATAATGTATTCTAGCCATGCTACTGACTTGTGATTTTTACGATGGCTTCATACAGTAGTAGCTAATTTTGACTTAGTGTCTTTAAAGTCTCTTAAAATCTAAATGGGAAATCATATTCTTGTGGCTCTGAGTTCATAGTAGTAAAAATGCTGTTTTTCAAAATTACAACAGTTTTTGCATTAAGGATAGAAGATTTACAAATTTTTTAAAAAATGAAAATTGCTTAAGAGGTTGTCACTGTTAACATTTTTTGCATTTTTCTATTATTACAAGGATAGAAATATACATTGATGTGATTATTGAGCAAAAATAGAGTTCTCCCATAACTAGTGTACATAACGTACTTTTTCACGTCATGGGAGTGGTTATCTTTCTGTCTTCCTGAATGTTCTTCTACAACAGGGCCATTGAGAAGGTGAAAGGCCTCACTGTCTCATTGTATATAAAACCAAACTCCCCGCCATCAGTCAGTTCTGACTCAGCGTGCCTATGGGGCAGCGTAGAACTGTCCCTTTGTGTTTCTGGGGCTGCCCGTCTTCACAGGCGTGAAATGCCTTATTTTCTCCTGCGCTCTCAGCAGCCTGACAAGTAACCCACGACATGACCTGGGATCGTTCCTTTTTCCATTGAAACGGTGCGCTGTATTGTTTAAAACTTGGTCCTCAGAATAAGGAATGAAAGGTTTTGCTATTATACGTAGTAATACTGTGGTTATCTTTGTATATGTGTATGTACAAGATTTACATATTACTTGTATGCCCCCTTTACTGCTTCCTTAAGATTTACTTTCAGCACTGGAGTGCAATGTCTAAAGAGAGACACGTATATGTGAGTTTTCATATGTATTGCGACACCAATTTGGAGAAAGCCACTCTCATACAAATAGTGCTACCTGAGGTTGTCTTTAAAAAGCCATTTCAGATGAAGTTACAGCTATTTATATTAAAAATCAGCCAAGTCATCAACTTGATTACCCATCCACCTTCAGTCCCTACCCCCAAACCAAAATCCCGTGTCATGGATAAGGTATTTGAATCACTTTCCAATCACGTAGAATGTAGCACACAACCCAGAGACCACAAGTCAGCCGGAGAGAGTGATAGGAGGGAGCTGGCCCCACCTTCCAGGCAGCCACAAAGGCTCCCACAGTTGTGCTCAGCAAGCCCCGCGCCTTTATTTCAGCTGGAAGCAGCACAGGATCTGCGGCTTTGTCAGGACAGAGGTCATTTTCTGGTTCTGATTACACTGCACCAAATTCACTGGCAGAGGTACTCAAGTGAACGTGACCTCTCGTGGTGCAAATGGAAGAACAGCGGGGAAGTGCAATGGCAGGAAGAGCTGACCTTGTAGCCTACTGTGTGCATTTAATTGTATGTCATCTTTGCCTATGGAAGAGAAGGGCCCTAGTGATTTGTCTCTCTCTCCTGGTAATAAAAATACTCATTGTTCACGGCTCCACTTGGTCTTTTCTTTATCAGTCTTGTCTCAAGAAGAAAACGAACTGGGGAAATTTCTTCGATCCCAAGGCTTCCAAGATAAAACCAGAGCAGGAAAAATGATGCAAGCAACAGGGAAGGCCCTCTGCTTTTCTTCCCAGCAAAGGTGTGTGGCCTTTTCGGGTGATTTATTTTGTGTGTGTGTCGGTGGTGGTGGTGGTGGTGAGGCTGGTTCTGGAGAGACTCTGAGGATCCCCGGTGGCATAGTCATTATGAATTGGGCAGCTAACATCAAGATTTGCAGTTCAAAACCACTAGTCGCACCTTGGGAAAGAGACAGGGTTTTATGTGCCCATAGAGAGTGATGGTCTCAGAAAGTTACAGCTACAGTTCCACCCTGTCCTATGGGGTTACTGTGCGTCAGCATCGACTCAGTGGCAGTGAGGGGAGTGTAGAGACTCTGCCACCAGCCCCCCACCCCCAGGGGAATCACACAAGTTCTTAGAAAGCACCCGCCTGAGACTGAGACGTGGTCTCGTGCTTAGGTGTTACTCTAGTCCCAAATAGCACTTTGGATTCTGATAAACTGGACCAAACTCTTTGCCATCCAATCCATTCTGACTCAGAGTGACCCTACAGGACAAAGTAGAACTGTCCCTGGGGGTTTCTGAGACTTCATTCTTTACGGGAGTAGAGAGCCTCATCTTTCTCCCCTCATTAACATAGCACATATAATTTGTTCCTGTCAACTTTTAAAAAATTATTTTATTGGGGGCTCATACAGTTCTCATCACAATCCATACATACATCCATTGTGTCAAGCACACTTGTACATTT